CAATCCTCCTGCCTTGGACTCCCAAAGTGCTAGGATTACAGGTGTGAGCCCCTGCACACAGCCACAAATTATTCCGATCTGGTTAATGATGCCGTTATATTTATTCACCCTACTTTACTGAAAACCAAGAAGATGGCATTTCTTTATAGATATCATATGATTCTATAGTCTTGTTTGGGTACCCAAGAACAAAATCATATAGAAATAGGTTACTTCAAACCCTTTGGAAATATCTATTGCACAATCATAGGTTCAGTTTTAAGAGCTCACTATGGAAATGTCATTTTTCTACGTCTTTAAGGATTATCTCATGATATATTCACCCCTGAGATAAGTTGTTATTATTCCCATTTTACAACAGGGAAAACCAAGACCCAGAGACGTTAGGTAACCTGCCCAAAGTCACACAGTCTGAGAGTCCCGTGTTATGTTTTGCTCCTGCATTGCTAGAAACCACTCATTGCAAATAATCCTATTCTGTCCTCTGGGGACAACAGGATCCCTGAAGGTAAGAGAGGGGCATCTCTTCCAAACCTGTGCTGCTCTGGAATTCTCCTGGATTCAGAGGCACAATCCCTACCCCAACTTGGCATGATTCAATCCTGTATGGCTTCCAGCCGCTGAACTTTGCCGCCAGCTGGTTCAGGAAAGCCAGCTTGGCACTGGATCTTAAGTCTTTGCAGCTGAATCATTATCCAGGAAAGCACATGACTGACCAGAAGTGAACAGGGCACGGGTGGTCTCCTGAGCACTTACGTACATCTGGGAGGAGCATGCGGACACATACACAGATACACGCATGCAGAGTACATACACATACACACACAGAATGCACATATACACACGTATGCAAAATACGTGGATAAATTACACACACTCATACAAACACACATGCACACTCTACACACACAATGCACACACATGCACAGTACACAATACACACATATACACATACACATAACACATGCACACATGCACCGCACACATACTCACATATACACTACATATACACAGTGCACACACATGCACAGTACACACATATAACACATGCATACATACACTACACACATACATATACACTACACAATGCACACACATGTGCAGTACACACACATGCATACACACATACACATGCATACATACACTACATGCATACACACATATGCACTACACATACACCAATGCACACATATGAACAGTACACACATACACATATATACACAACACGCACACACATACACTACACATACAATGCACACACGTACAGTACACACACATACACAGAAACACACATACATACACTACACACTACATATACAATACACACATGCACAGTACGCACATACACATGCATACACACATACACATAAACATACATGACACACATCTACACACTACACATATTCACAATGCACATATGCACAGCACACACATACACATATTGCACACATATGCATAAACACATGCATACATTCACCACACACACTACACCCATACACACAATGCACACACACACTACATGCATACATACACACAATACACACACATACACCATGCCTTCCTGGAGCCTGTTATTCAGCCTCAAGCTGGAAATTCCCAGTCATTCATTTCTGTGTTTTTCTGTCTGGCCTCACCCTTTTGGGGAATGTACAGAGGACACGAGGGAGGGAGAGGGGACTCAACAGCAAAGATCAGAGGGTGAGAAGTTCAGGGCAGCTAACTCCCGAGGGGGCCTTCGAACGTTGCCCGGTGGGGGGCCTGTGGTCTGGTACAGTGGGCTCCAAAACTTTGGCCAGGCATCAAATCCCCTAATTTGGAGGCAGTGCAGTGTGGACTGAGGAAGAGGAGAGGGAAGGAGGCTGCGGTGGGGGTGGAAGGGTGGTGCAATTGGAAGGGTCGACTCCCACGCCTGGAGCCTGAACTCAGCAGGTCAGAAGTGGGGCTCAGGAGCCTGTACTTTTGAGACTGTATCTCACACTTTTCTTTGTAATGCTAAGGCTGAGTTCTGGGGAAAGACCTTGAGTTCTATCCCGTCTCTGCTGCTTGCAAGCTATGTCACCCCGAGCAAGTCACATGTCCCCACAGCCTTTCTCTCTCTCCCTCTTTCTCTCTCTCTCTCTCTCTCTCCCTTTCTCCTGTTTCTTTTCTTTTCTGTTTGTTTGTTTTGAGGCAGGGTCTTGCTCTTTGCTCTCTTGTCCAGGCTGGAAGGCACAGGCATAATCATGGCTCACTACAGCCTCAACCTCCCTCCCTGGGGTCAGGTGATCCTCCCACCTCAGCCTCCCAAGTAACAGGGACTACAGGTGTACAACACCACACCTGGCTAATTTTGAATTTTTATAGAGATAGGGTTTCACCGTGTTGCCCAAGCTGGTGGTCTCTAATTCCTAGGCGCAAATCTGCCTGCCTCAGTCTCCCAAAGTGCTGGATTACAGGCATGCGCCACCACGCCCAATGTGAGACCCTTGCTTTCATCGTCAGTAAGATGGGAATCGCTGTACATAATTTCATGCATTGCCTGGTACATGGGAAACATTACATGAACAATGCCTACTGTTACTATATAGCTAATGTTATATAAAAATGGCCCCCTCCAAACTCTGCATTAATTGTGAGAAGGCTTCAACTAACAGCTCTGAAACTGAAAGAGGAAATAAAACTACACAAACACTCCGGGGTCCCTGGGGAACTGCACTGGACTGAGCCGGAATGCAAGCCTCTCCCACTCCTGCTTCTCATCCTGAGCCTGCTGAGAAGGTCGCAATCTTACCTAAGAATGTGATGAAAAGATAAGAGACACGTTTTTTTCATTTCAAAGCTTCTGCTGGTGTCTCGTGTTGCTGGTGGGTGGTGTGCAGGGAGAGTTTGGGAGCTGGACCCAGGCCTGCGGTAGGCGGAGCTCCTTCCTGGGGGTGGGAAGGGGCGAAAACTGTACAAGCCTGAGTTTGGGGCATAGCAGGGGAAGCTCACTGCAGAGAGGAGAGCCAGTATCTACAGCACTGCACGGAGGCAGATTGATTTCTGCAAGCCCGAATCTCTGTGAGGTTTAGCAGGTAGTGAAACAAGGGCAGCCAGCAGGGTACGAGAGAAAGCATGTGCCTGTCATGGTGTGGCTTTCCTTGACCTACTTTTTTTTGAGACGGAGTCTCACTGTCGCCTGGGCTGGAGTGCAGTGGCATGACCTCGGCTCACTGCAGCCTCTGCCTCTCAGGTTCAAGTCATTCTCCTGCCTCAGTCTCCCAAGTAGGTGGGATTACGGGGGCATGCTGGCTAATTTTTGTATTTTTAATAGAGACGTGGTTTCACCATGTTGGCCAGGCTGGCCTCAAACTCTGACTTCAAGTGCTCCGACCACCTTGGCCTCCCAAAGTGCTGGGATTACAGGCGTGAGCCACCACGCCCAGCCCTTGACCTACTTTTGATGGAAACTTGGGCTCAGATAAAAATATCCTCACTATAAGAAAAACAAGAGAAGGGCAGTGACAAATGGTTAACTGATGTGGGCACAAGGTCTAGGGGATCCAGGAGGTGGAGAGGATGGTAGGAAACGGGAGGGCTGACCCGAGCCTGCTCTATCTCAAATGGCAGCTGCTGCCTGGACCAGCCCACTGTCACCCTGGAGGTGCACGGGCCAGTGGTGAATATGAATCTTCTGAATCATCTGACGGAGCATAGGAAAGTGAGTTTATGTGTGCAATTTCCTGATTTTTCAATGTTGCCTCTAATTTTTTAAAAATTGGCATCTTAGCCTGTCATGGTGGCTCACACTTGTAATCCCAGCACTTTGGGAGTCTGAGGCGGGCGGATTACGAGGTGGTCAGGAGTTTGAGACCAGCCTGTCCAATATGGTAAAACCCCATTTCTACTAAAAAATACAAAAATTAACCAGGTATGGTGGCACACACCTATAGTCCCAGCTACTCTGGAGGCTGAGGCAGGAGAATCGCTCGAACCCAGGAGATGGAGGTTGCAGTGAGACGACATGGTGCCACTACACTCCAACCTGGGTGACAGAGTGACTAAACACTCCATCTTAAAAAAGAAAATTGCATCTTAGATTCATGTAGACATTGAGTCTAAGACATACCATTGGTCATGTAGACATACCAATCTATTGATGGTAAGATGTTCTGATATTTAATAAACTACTGATAAAAAGAAGCCTGACAATTTAGCTACAACAAGCTATGGATTACAAAATGAATCTCAATTGCAAACATGTCACAGTGTGAAAAGGATGCATCTTAATATCCATGAAATACTGGATATCAATAGGCTGGACTTGGTCTGACAGGCTTGTGCAGTTTCCAACCTGCGCAACTGTACACAGCAGCTCTTATGTAGCCCCTGAGGACTCTGAAGGGCTTAGGGGCCACCAGGAGGCTCACATTTGGGTCACATCTGTGAACTTCCAAGTCCCTTAAGTAGTAATCCCTCTTTGATCTTCATCTGAACCAGGAAGGTTGCAAAGAGGAAAGTATGGGCCAGTTTCCTTCCTCCCATGGGGACTAGTTCACTGACAGTGGTGGTCCCAGGGCCCCGGGCATGGTAGTTCAGCAGGCATGGGGCAGGGCTTCAGAGGGATTCTGATCCTGCCAGATTAAGAGAGGCCTCACACCCACATTTATACAGGCCCGGAGAGGAGAGGGCCCTGGCCCAACATCAGACAGCTGAGTGGAACAGAGCCGAGCCAAGGGCCCGGCCCTCCTCACTCCGATCCTGGTGCTTCTCCTCTTGATGACTGTAAAAATCTCTGCCTGGAGAATCGCTTGAACCCAGGAGGCAGAGGTTGCAGTGAGCTGAGATGGTGCCATTGGACTCCAGCCTGGGTGACAGTGCGAGACTCCATCTCAAAAAAAAAAAAAAAATCTCTGCCCTTCTGCCCCAGGTGAACTGAAGGCAGGGGTCTCCAGGGCTGAAAGTGGTCTTGGCCCTCCCCAGCTCCTTACCCCCTGAAGCCCTGGTTGCTGGACTTGTCCCAGAGAAATAACCTGCATTGATTCACAAGACTTTTAAATTTTATTAGTAAAATACAAAACGACACAGACATTGGTGATGAGGGTTGGAAAAGTCAAAGGATCAATCCACCCTTTCCAAAGTCTTCCTACATCATCGTCATCCATGTCACGCTTGGAGAAACTAACAATGTCCATGGAAGGGGGACCAGCTGTCCCCAGCAGCTTCCTCACAAAGGAGGCGGGGCCCCATCAGCGAGTGCCCCACCCCTGGAAGGCTCTCCCAGCCTGGAAGAGCCAGAACAAAGTGCATTGGACCCACTGTCACCCTCTCTGAGCTGCCAGAGTGAGCCCACTTGAGCCATTCCCTGAGCTTCCTGAATATATTGCGCCATGCTCAGCAAGGGAGCGCAGAGGCCGGGTGGGCAGGACCGCACAGCTTCCTGCTCTCTGTGAACCAGGGCCGCGTTTCCTTCCTCCAACCACCCATCTGCGAAGGAGTGTTCCTGGCACCTGGGTAGAATCCAGCCCACGAGAGGCCCCTTAGGTAGAGGGCAAGGGTCACACTTGGGGACAATCCAAGGGAGAGGTGAGCTGCCACGAGGGACCCTGAGGGGCCAGGCTGGCAGGCGCGACCCCATCCAGGCATGCTTGAACCTTCAGTAGCCCAAAAAGGGAAGTCCTGACTTTATGCCCACAACTCCCCCTTTCCCATGTCCCACCCTCCTTCCCGGGTAGAGTCCCTTTCAGAAACCAACAGGGGACTTGTGGAAACATCATGGAAATCCCTGGTCCTGTCTGCGGTGGGGACAAAGATGAAGGAGAAGGTCTCGGAGGGCAGAGAACAGTGTTTGCAAGGAGTGAGAGAGGTGGGAGGGGAACCCAGGCTTCAGGAAAGCATCTGACATATGTGGGGTGGGACCGAAGGGTCTCAAGGCCTGGCTGCCTGCGGGAGTCCCTGAAGGAGCATCAGGAGTGTGGCTGCTTCCGGAGCCTTTCCTGGGCTTCTTAGACACGTGCCTAGAGCTCTCCCTTCTCCCTCTTAGTGGGTGAGGGGAGGCTGTCTCAGTGGCTGAACCCGGGCGGGGCCTTCAGGGATGGTCTCCACTCTGCCCACCTCCATCTGGGGACCCACAGAGCAGGATCTATGCTATCAACTCACTTCCTTGCAGGCCCTCCGGGTCTCAGGGTCCAAAGACAAATTAGTCCATCGGGAGGAACTCAAGTGCTCTGACAAGGACTGGGAGGCTGCATTCCGGACTGGAGAGAAGGGCTTCAGGTCAATGAGCAAGGTCAGGGGGACGGGTATTCCTTGCCCCGCTCTTTTCTTTCACAGATGGGAGTAACTCTGTGGGTTGGTGGTGGAACTAGGATCAGAATCCAGTCTTCAGACTCAGCACAGCGTAGGCCAAGGAAGAAAGCCACCCGTTGTCAAAGCCACCAGATAGCCTCACCTCCCCTTCCCGCAATGCCTAACCGAGGGCAGAGCCTCCCTGGGAGCAGTGCCAGGAAACACCACACTAGCCTCATGCAAGAAAAGACACGTCACCAGTGGGGGCGTGGGCTCTGTACAGAGGGGCGGGGAGAGATAGCACCGCAGGTGGCCGGGGTGACTGGCAACCGCAGCAGGACCAGGAGACACGACAAGGCCTGGGGGAGCGGGCAGAGGGGCCTGGCCTGAGGCTCATGTGTGAGATGGGAGGACTGGTACTCACAAGGCTGCGGGGGTCAGAGGGGGCTGGGCATTTAATAAATAGTCGTTCATTGGGGCTGGGATGACGTCAAAGGGAACCTCTAACCAGCCAGCAGCAGAGGAGAGTTTTGGGGCTGGGGTGAGCTGGGAGGCCACCCCGTCTGTCCCTGGCAGGTGGAGAGTGGTCAAGGCTGGCCTCCTGGGGTGTGCCTGGGAGCTTGGAGCCTGTGCACCTGGAGGGTCCCACCTCCCTGCTCCAAGCATCCCAGCTCAGGCCAGGCCCTTAGGTGGGGGTGGGTTTGAGGATGAGGGACCCCAGGCAGCTGTCTGAATCAAACAACTAGGCCCAGGCCGGGGGAGTTCACACAGGCACCAGGACATACGAGTTACTGCCACAGCTCCGGGGGACGTAGCGAAGGCCTTCCACCATCTCCCCTGCCATCTTCCGAGGGCAGCCCTGGAGGTTCTGGTAGGCGAACATGGCCACCCCCAGGCAGAAGAGGAGGCCAAGGAAGGCCAGCAGCCCCACCGCCTGCCTCCTGGTGGCTTCCTGGGTGTCAGGGGTAGGAGTGATAAGAACGCTCAGCCTCTGGGAATTCATGGTGGGATGGATGGGTTCCTCAGACTTAGGGGTCCAGCTGCCTGAAGTCACTGGCTCCCTGCTGGGCGTCCCTTCCGAGGAGACAGGGACCACAGAGATGTGGGCCATGCTGCCAGGCCCCCAGTACCGGAGGGCATCCCTGTGCGCTGGCACGGAACTCATCTCCGGCTCCAGAGAGGGCTCTGGCCTGGGGCTCTGTCCCTGACTCCACACTGGCTGGCCTTCAGACCCAGTGTTCTCCTCTGGGGCTGGGGAGGACGTAGTGGGGGCCTGGGTAGAGGGGGCCTGGGTGGAGGGGGCCTGGGTGGAGGGGGCCTGGGTGGAGGGGGCCTGGGTGGGGGGGTTTGGGTGGAGGGGGCCTGGGTGGAGGGAGCCTGGGTGGAGGGGGCTTGGGTGGAGGGAGCCTGGGTGGAGGGGGCTTGGGTGGAGGGGGCCTGGGTGGGGGGGGTTTGGGTGGAGGAGGCCTGGGTGGAGGGGGCCTGGGTGGAGGGGGTCTGGGTGGAGGGGGCCTGGGTGAATGGGGCGTCAGAGGTGGGCCCAGGTTGGTGGAGAGCAGAACTCTGCCACGGAGCAGCAGTAGAGACAGGAGGCAGGCCGAAAAGCTCCGTGCCCGCAGGCCCTCCATCCTGAGCCTTTGGTGTCGGGGGAAACCTGGTCCCTGAGGAACCGGCCACTACCGTCGGCAGCTCTGGGGAGGTCCCCAGGGCCCTCTGTTCCTCCTGGGAAGAAGGGGTCAGCTCCAGGCTACTGCTTTCGCCTGTGGCTTCCGGCTTCAGGACCACAGACTCGTCCATTACCCCGGCGGCAGGGGCGGTCCAGGGCATCGTCCCGCCGATCAGCTTCTCGAAGGTGCCGTGGTTTTGAGTCCGAGCAGCAGCCTGGCGGTCTAGATGCTGCTTGGCTTCCTGGACCCATTTCTCCTTCGGGTCAGCACAGAACAGCTTGTTCTTTCTCGTCTCCAAGCTACAAGGGAAGACAGGAATCCAGTGATGCCCAGATACCAGAAACCAGGCCAACGTGGCGTGCGGGTACAGCACCAATGCTCTGTGGATGAACAGACCTGGCTGGAAACCCCGCTCTCCCACTTAGCGGCTGTGAGGCAACTGACCACCTGGGGCAGCCCACCCTCCTGAGCTCCCTGGTCGTCACCTGAGAAATGGAGATAGGAAAGCCTCCCCTCTGTAGGGTGACCAGCCATCCCAGAAAAATTGGGATGGAGGGGGTGCTCAGGATGAGGGAGTTTCCGTTTTAAAACTTGGAAAGTCCCAGGCAAACAGGGACGAGTTGATTACCCTACTTCTGTGTTACTGTAAAAAAAAAAAAAAAAAGGTGAATTATGTGAAGCACCTGGCTCGGAGTAGATCAGTAACAGCTGAAAACGATAACAATGTGGCTAATTTTGTTACCATTAAGGCAGGGGGCTCTGGGCTTTGGGTCTCCTGCTGGGGAAGGGACTTCGCAGGTGTTCTCTGATGCCAGGTGTGTGCAGGTGAGCTCTATATGGGGCCTCCTCGCTCTGGAACAAGTCTTATGAGACTTGGTGAGTCTTGTTGCTCCTCTCCTTCGGTTTCACAGCTACAGGCTGTGCTCCGGACCCTCCTCCTCTCCTGATGTGTGTTCATGGGCAGTAGGGGAAGAGCCAAATATATGGCAGCCTCATTGGGAGCCCGAGTGCCCTCCAAATCTTGAATTTCTGAAGCCGTTTATGACTGGGTCGCCACAGCTCAGAGCTGACAGAGGCCCTGGCTCTGTGCCATGGCCTGTGCTTGGCATTTTGCCCACGTTTAAACCTCACACCCATCCTACAAGGTGGGTACCAGGCTCATTCCCATTTTACAGATGAGGAAACAGGCTTGGAGAGGTGAATTGAAGGCACCTGGCTCCAGGAAGCCAGACAAGTCCGGGAAGCAGGTCTGCGGGCCCCCTGGGCACAGTGACACCCTCCCCCACTTCCTTCTTCCCCTTCATCTAGAAAACAAAATATATTTGGGGGTGTCTTGGGGAAGTAATCCTTGACCGGGCAGCAAAGAGGTCAGGCAGGAGCAGGCTCAGCACCTTACCCACCTAGAAAATGCGTAATTGAGGAGAGGAAGTGCCAGACTTCCTTTAGCTGAGCCTAGAAAGCAAAAAGCCATTGGCATTTCCTGGTGCCAGGCCCTTAGGTCTGGCTGAGGCTGCTTTAGGGCCCAAAAGTCAGTCCTGGGGAAAGGCTTCAGGGCAGGCTGGTTAGGCAGATCCCAAGAGAACCCCCAGGAGGAGCAAGTGACCAAGATGGCCAGGGTGGTCAACAGCTAGGGAGAGAATGGCTCCATCCCTCCCGAGAGTCTCACAGTCTCACCGTGGCCCCAATTCCTCTTCTGCCAAATGGAGATGGTAATCTCTGCAGCTCCTACTGTCAGCACCCTGCCAAGCACTTAATTTTTTCTTTCTTTCTTGTTTTCTTTTTGGAGATGGAGTCTTGCTCTGTTGCCCAGGCTGGAGTGCAGTGGTGCGATCTCGGCTCACGGCAACCTCCAGCTTCTGGGTTCAAGCGATTCTCCTGCCTCAGTCTCCTGGGCAGCCGGGATTACAGGCGCCCACCACCATGCCTGGCTAGTTTTTGTATTTTTAGTGGAGATGGGGTTTCACCATGTTGGCCTGCCTGGTCTTGAACTCCTGACCTCAAGTGATTTGGAAGGCTCGCTCGCCTCAGCCTTCCAAAGTGCTGGGATTACAGGTGTGAGCCACCGCACCCCTGCCAAGCACTCCAGTTACATCATGTCCTAGCGACCCATTTTATAGACAAGGAAATCAACGTGCAAAAAGTGAGCAATGAAAGCAGGGCCGCCCAGCCAGTAAGTGGGAAGGCAGGGTTTGCGCCAGGTCTTCTGGAGTCTGGAACCTGCATTTTAGGATCCTCATGCTTAACGCCTCCCACACCCCACCCCCACCCATGAAATCTCGTGGGTTCAAGTGCCAGGTAACATGTGCTTCAGCCCAGGAGGAATGACCACCCTTGATGGCTGCTCCAGACCACAGCCAGGGTGGGCTATTCAGGAAGCTACTCTCCACCTTAGCCATGTGGCACAGAAATTAAGGTCAGGGAGGTGGCCTGCAGGCCAGAGGCAAGAGAAGCAAGTGCTGAGGACTTCACCTGGGAGCCCAGGTCCGGGAGGGGAGGTACAGACACAGGTTCTCAGAGGCCTGGGAATATTCTAAGGGCCCGAAGGGGATTTCCGAGGCCTCCAGGGTGGTACCTACATGATGGCAGGTTTGCCACACGATGCCTGGTTGTGTTGATAGCGGATGAGCAAAGTCACAGGTATCCTTACTGACGTCATCTTGCTGCACGTGATGTTGCATTTCCTCACACCGTGGTGCTGTCCTGAGTCCACAGAAGTCCCTTGTCAGCAGGGATGTCTGTGGGCATCTGGCTTCCCAACCCTGTGCCAGCTTGTCCTGGCCATCCCACCCAAGCCAAAGCTGATTCCCTGCGCACCCTGGACTTCAAGACCTTTGACTCAGCCTCCCTCTCCCGCCAAACTTCTCTATGCCTCAGTTTCCCCACCTGTAAAGTAAGAACAAAAATACTACCTTGTAGGCTTGCTATAAGATTCAAAACCTGAATTCTTATTTATAAAGCTCTTTTTGCCTGGCACATGTTGAGTTTAATTTTTAAAATTAAGTGGTCCATTGTGCAGCAGGGGTGATGAGTCTAAGAGTGACAGGGATCTGCAAAGATCACACAGCTACACAACCAGCAAGGGCTGGAACGGGTTCTCCTACCAGGCCTGGCTCCAGTCTCCACTGGGCTTGTGGCCTTGCCTATCCCCTCATCTCTGCCTTATTCCCACTCCACCCCCTTTTTTTTTTTTTTTTTTTTTTTTTTGAGGCAGAGTCTTGCTCTGTCACCAGGCTGGAGTGCAGTGGCACGATCTCCACTGACTGCAACCTCTGCCTTCCGGGTTCAAGCGATTCTCCCGTCTCAGGCTCCTGAGTAGCTGGGATTACAAGTGTGCACCACATCCGGCTATTTTTGTATTTTTAGTAGAGATGGGGTTTCACCATGTTGGCCAAAATGGTCTTGATCTCCTGATCTCATAATCCGCCCACCTCGGGCTCCCAAAGTGCTGGGATTACAGGCATGAGTCACCGTGCCTGACCAATTTTTTTTAAAGAAATAGGGTCTTGCTTTGTTGCCCAGGCTGTAGTGCAGTGGTGTAATCCTAGCTCACTGTAACCTCAAAATCTTGGGCTCCTCCTGGCTGGGTGTTGTGGCTCGTGCCTGTAATCCCCCGGTCAGCAGGGCCAGGGAGGAGGGATCCCCTGAGGTCAGGAGGAGGCTGAGGTGAGTGGATCACCTGAGGTCAGGAGTTGAAACCAGCTTGGTCAATATGATGAAATCCCATTTCTACTAAAAATACAAAATTAGCCAGGCATGGTGGCTGCACCTGTAGTTCCAGCTACTTAGGAAGCTGAGACAGGAGAACTGCATGAATCCAGAAGGTGAAGGTTGCAGTGAGCCAAGCTGAGATCACACCACTGCACTCCAGCCTGGTGATAGAGCAATACTCTGTTTCAAAAAATAAAAAATGGCTGGGTATGGTGACACGCGCCTGTAGTCCTAGCCACTCGGGAGGCTGAGACAGGAGAGTCGCTTGAACCTGGGAGGTGGAGGTTGCAGTGAGCCAAGACCATGCCATTGCACTCCAGCCTGGGTGACAGAGTGATACTCTGTCTCAAAAAAAAAAAAAAAAAAAAAAGAGACAGATCCTCTTGCTTCAGCCTCCCAAGTAGCTGGGACCACAGGGTGCATGCTACCATGCCTGGCTAATTTTTTTTAAGAGACAAGGTCTTGCTGTGTTGCCCAGGCTGGTCTTGAACCCCTGACCTCAAGCGATCTTCCTACCTCAGCCTCTGGAGTAGCCGGGATTACAGATGCAAGCCACCATGCCTAGCAATAAAGTTCTTAAAAACATGTAAGTATAACTGCTTTCTAAGGAAGGTGGGCTCTGCTGAATAGGTAATCCTTTGTCCTGCTGTTAAGAGCCAGAGTGAGTCTGAGAGCAGTTGCTGAAAGGTACCGAGTCATCCTGCCTAGGAGGGAAGAGACATTTGAAGTTCCTGGAGCAAGAGGAGTCGGGGGAGGATTGGAGATGGAAGGTATGAATAGGGTGGGGGCAGAGTGGGGCGGGAGGGGCAGGCAGTAACTGAGTCTCACGTGGAGCCAGGGAAATGCCAGGATGGGATGAGAATATCTCAACCCAAATATTTGACACAAACAATTGAAGTCGCTTGCATTTTGTTTCCACCTTCCCTCGTCTCCTAAAATCCCCAGCAAATTTTTTTTTTTTTTTTTTTTTTTTTTTTTATGAGACGGAGTTTCGCTCTTGTTACCCAGGCTGGAGTGCAATGGCGCGATCTCGGCTCACCCCAACCTCCGCCTCCTGGGTTCAGGCAATTCTCCTGCCTCAGCCTCCTGAGTAGCTGAGATTACAGGCACGTGCCACCACGCCCAGCTAATTTTTTGTATTTTTAGTAGAGACGGGGTTTCACCATGTTGACCAGGATGGTCTCGATCTCTCGACCTCGTGATCCACCCGCCTCAGCCTCCCAAAGTGCTGGGATTACAGGCTTGAGCCACCGCGCCCGGCTAGCAAATTTTTTTCTACTTAGTGTGAGCTCAGGGAGAATGAGTATAAAAAACAAGGAAGAGCTTGAGTTTCAGATCTGGGTCAAGGTTATGTGCAGCAAAAGCAAGACCCCAACATCTGGAGGCCAGAGCAGGCAAGAAAGCAAGTTGATCTTATCAGCCCTTCAGGGCCTGGGAGACCCCCCCAGCCCATCCCTGGGCTCCACCAGAACACGAATTGCTCATGCACAAATACTTACATATATGTGGCCATGCAAACATACCCCACCTTCCTAATTTACAGGCGCATACATGCGTGCGGGCATGTGCATGCACACACACACACACACACACACACTCTTTATAGAATCTGCTGCTTCCTCTCTCCATCGCCTCCCCTTAGCCTTGGCCCACCCTGCTCCGTGGGGATGTGGTTGAGGGCCTGCAGGTCTGAGTTGAGTTATCAAGCAGTACCCCTAGTCGCTTCAGGGGGTTGGAGGGGGGTGTGCAGGAAGGGCTCCCCAAGTCTCGGGGCTGTCCTTTCTCTCTGAGTAATGAGGATATAAAAGTCACTGTGTGGGCTGGCCACCCTCCTTCTGCAACGGGACCTCAGAATGACTCACCTGTGGCCTCCCCAGGCCCTGTTGAGTGGAGGCCAGGTAGCAGTCCCCTAAACTGGCCTGCAGGTGTCTTCCTCGGAAAACCCCAGAAACTATGGTGCCTCTGAGTGACTGGAGATAGGAGGAGGCAAGGGAGGCTGCCCAGTGAAGGGAGGCTGCTCAGTGAAGGGAGGCTGCCCAGTGAAGGGAGGCTGCCTAGTGAAGGGAGGCTGCTCAGTGAAGGGAGGCTGCCCAGTGAAGGGAGGCAGCCCAGTGAAGGGAGGCTGCCCAGTGAAGGGAGGCTGCCTAGTGAAGGGAGGCTGCTCAGTGAAGGGAGGCTGCCCAGTGAAGGGAGGCTGCTCAGTGAAGGGAGGCTGCCTAGTGAAGGGAGGCTGCTCAGTGAAGGGAGGCTGCCCAGTGAAGGGAGGCTGCCCAGTGAAGGGAGGCTGCTCAGTGAAGGGAGGCTGCCCAGTGAAGGGAGGCTGCCTAGTGAAGGGAGGCTGCTCAGTGAAGGGAGGCTGCCCAGTGAAGGGAGGCAGCCCAGTGAAGGGAGGCTGCCCAGTGAAGGGAGGCTGCCTAGTGAAGGGAGGCTGCTCAGTGAAGGGAGGCTGCCCAGTGAAGGGAGGCTGCTCAGTGAAGGGAGGCTGCCCAGTGAAGGGAGGCTGCTCAGTGAAGGGAGGCTGCCTAGTGAAGGGAGGCTGCTCAGTGAAGGGAGGCTGCCCAGTGAAGGGAGGCAGCCCAGTGAAGGGAGGCTGCCCAGTGAAGGGAGGCTGCCTAGTGAAGGGAGGCTGCTCAGTGAAGGGAGGCTGCCCAGTGAAGGGAGGCTGTCCAGTGAAGGGAGGCTGCCCAGTGAAGGGAGGCAGCCCAGTGAAGGGAGGTTGCCCAGTGAAGGGAGGCTGCCCAGTGAAGGGAGGCTGCTCAGTGAAGGGAGGCTGCCCAGTGAAGGGAGGCTGCCTAGTGAAGGGAGGCTGCCCAGTGAAGGGAGGCTGACCAGTGGGTAGGAAGGAAGGTCCATTCTTTATGCCCCAAATCCAGGATGGGGAAAGCCACTGCCCACCTCCAGGGCTGTAAAGAGCCACAGTGTCTCCTGTCTCCAAAGTCTCCACCCTCTGCATGGTGCCTAAATGGTCCTGGGCTGGCTCAGTTCTTGGTCCTGCCAGGAAGGTTGTGTAACTAACCTGGGGAGCCTGTCTCTTCTCAGAGCTGAAGTTTTCTTTTCTGTAAATGGAAGCAATACCTCATCCAGCCAGTCATCGATTATCTATTCATAGGGGTGAAGGAAGGCAGGGACCTCATCTGTCTTGGTATCACAGTTTCCCAGCATCAAGCACAAGCTGGGTACTCAATCAATATTCACTGAATGAAATTATGTCTCAATTTACTTATCTCAGTGTAATGCATCTATCTACCTACCCATCCATCTGTCCACCCACTCTTATCAATCTTCCTCCCATTCCCTGCCCACCTGCCACCTCTCACCCATCCCCTACTCATCTCTATTCACTCATCTACCCACTCCCTCTCCCTCACCTACCACCTGTCCATCCGCCACCCCCTTTTATCTCCCCCACGCATCCATCCCTCATCATCCCCTCACCATCCCTTCTTCCATGCATCCATCTATCCATCCATTCATCCATTAATCCATCCACTCCCCTGATTTCAGCCAACACTTGCTGGAATTACTTTTGAGTATATACAGAATCTCAGGACCTCTTATCCTTAACCTTGAGCCCTTCCTCCCATAGGTACTGGGGCTGAGCTTGGAGAGAGCACTTCCATCCCAATAAATGCCCTCAGATCCCTCTGTTTATTCAGTCAATCAGCAAATGCTGGTTCCTCCTGCCAGGCCCTGTGCTGGGTACTGTGAGGTACAGTGAGGTGAACAAGGATCGTCTCTGCCCTCAGAAGCGTCCCAACCTTATGGGCAAGTAAAACAGGCACGCAAAGTATCAGCTTTTTTTTTTTTTAATTGAGCATCTACTGTGTATCAGACCCTGTGTCCAGCACGTGCATGTCTACTCTCTTTAATTCCCAACATCCCTGCAAAGGGACTATTGTTGTTCCCACCTCACAGACGCAGAAGCTGGGAAGGAGAGAGGTTATATGTGCCCAATGCCGCACAGCTGCGTGGTGGCAGAGCTAGTTTTCTACCCAGCCCCTAAACACCCCACTGTTCTAGGCTATCCTAGATGCCAGGTAGAAACACAATATTCCAGAACATCCCACAAACACACTGGGATTTAAGTGAGGGAGAGACCACTTCCAATTTCAAATGATCAGGGAAGGCTTCTTGGAGGAAGTGTCCTTTAGACTGGACCTCAAGGACTTCTAAGAGTCTTCCAGGCTCTTAGAAGGAGACTTGGGAAATGTCCTGGGTTTGGGTGAGGTGATAGAGACAGGGCTTGAGCCATTGCTCAGCTGTGTGTCCTGAATGAGTCACTCAGACTCTCAGTTTCCCTACTTATAAAATGGATGTGACCAATACCCGCTTCACAGTGTGGTTGTGAGAATAAGCATTTTTGACGTCTGGAGCATTTTTCCCTTAGGGCAGAATTTCTCAACAGTGCCACTTTGGACCAGACAATTCTTTGTCTTGGGGGCTGTCCGTGCACTGCGGCACGTTAGCAGCATCTCTGCCTCTACACACTAAGGCCAGTAGCTCAACTGAACCAAGAACACTGGGACATTTGTAACAAGGGAAACTGTCTCCAGAAATTGCCAGATGGTCCCTGGGGGAGCAAAATTACTCACTGAGGACCACTGCCATAGATATGTCCACATAGGCTGCCTCCCTCACCTCCCTCCAAACTATGCAAAGCCACCTACTCAGTGGGCTTCCCTAGCCCCCTATTTAAAATGTCAACACCTCTCTCCCGGCCGGGCGCGGTGGCTCAAGCCTGTAATCCCAGCACTTTGGGAGGCCAAGGCGGTGGATCACGAGGTCGAGAGATCAAGACCATCCTGGTCAACATGGTGAAACCCCGTCTCTACTAAAAATACAAAAAATTAGCTGGGCATGGTGGCGCGTGCCTGTAATCCCAGCTACTCAGGAGGCTGAGGCAGGAGAATTGCCTGAACCCAGGAGGCGGAGGTTGCAGTGAGCCGAGATCGCGCCATTGCACTCCAGCCTGGGTAACAAGAGCGAAGCTCCATCTCAAAAAAAGGAAGAGGTGCTGTGGAGGCCACTGTATGGTTGCCTCACGGCTCCCCATGTAAGCCGGGCGCGGTGGCTCAAGCCTGTAATCCCAGCACTTTGGGAGGCCGAGGCGGGTGGATCACAAGGTCAAGAGATCGAGACCGTCCTGGTCAACATGGTGAAACCCCGTCTCTACTAAAAATACAAAAAATTAGCTGGGCATGGTGGCGCGTGCCTGCAATCCCAGCTACTCAGGAGGCTGAGGCAGGAGAATTGCCTGAACCCAGGAGGCGGAGGTTGCGGTGAGCCGAGATCGTGCCATTGCACTCCAGCCTGGGTAACAAGAGTAAAACTCCGTCTCAAAAAAAAAAAAAAAAAATGTCAACACCTCTCTCCCCCCATTTCTGTTTCATTTTGAGATGGAGTCTCGCTCTTTCACCCAGGCTGGAGTGCAATAGCACAATCTCGGCTCACTGCAACCACTGCCTCCCAGTTTCAAGTGATTCTCCTGCCTCAGCTCCCTGAGTAGCTGGGGCTATAGGCTCGCACTGCCACGCCCAGCTAATTTTGTATTTTAGTAGAGATGGGGTGTTGCCATGTTGGCCAGGCTGGTCTTGAACTCTTGACCTCAGGTGATCGGCCTGCCTTGGCCTCCCAAAGTGCTGGGATTACAGGCGTGGGTCCCCGCACCTGGCCTCCCCTCTCTATTTTTTGATCATGGTGCTTTTCTTCTTCCAACAGACCAAATTGTTTACTGATTTATTTGGTGTATGATCTGTCCTCTTCAGCTGAATTACAGCACCCCGAGGGCTGAGATCCTTGGCTGTTTTATTTATGGATGCCGCCCCAGTACCTAGAACCAGTTTTGTCACACAGTAGATGTCCAATAAGCATTTGTTGAAGGAATGAAGGAATTTTCATTTAAATTCGACAGGGGCCTGGATCTGACACTCTTGAATTTATCCTCCCCTGCCCTCCTCATCCACCCCCACTGCTAATGATGGGGGCGGGCTATAGGAGCTTAAAACAGATTGGTTTTTTCTCTTTCTTGCTGGGACTTGAGTGGGAGTGAGTGCGTCAGCTCTTGGAGGGGGAGAATGCTCTGCGCTGACTTGTAGCTGCAGGTTTGTTATATAAAGCACAGAAGCCTCCTGCCTGACACAGCCCCACAAACCCACATTTGGGGACTGACGCAGCTGCCCCATACCAGTTAGGGCAGCAGCTACGAATCCCCCAGCCTCCTCTTGGGGTCTCTAGCTTCTAAACCACCCCCTAGTCCTACAGGGGCTCCTAAGGGCCTCTCGGAGCCTTACATGTCTGCGCTGGAGAGGGCTTCCAAGGTGAGCCTGGTCGAATGCCCAGTTTTACAGAAAGGGAAACTGAGGCTGAGAAAGGTTGCAATAATACCCAGGATCTTCCAGTAAAGCAAATGACCAAGCTGAAGGCAGAAGCCTGGTTCTAAAGCCTCAGGCTGCTGGTCAGAATATCCAGGGTTCCCCAGAGTCCCCTTTCCATTCTAGTCTAGGACCCTCCCCTCTTCTCGGCTTGGTGAAAGTAATCCTCCCCCGCCCCCTTCAAAACACCCGCATAGACACTGGAACCTCATCACCCTCCCCCACCCCACCAGAGAGGTAATAGCAGCAGCTGGGACCAGAGGAGGCAAGACTCTGCTCAGGGTCACACAGCAAGACTGTGGCAAAGCCTCCACCATCTGACTCCCCACCTTCCAGTGCTCACTGCCCCCAGAGACCTCAGGCTTCAGAGCCCAAGCCCAGAAAGCAGGAAGCCAGCAGGAATTCGCCTCCACCACCCCCACGTGCCCACACACCCATGCACCTGCTCCCTGCCCCAGGGCGAGTTTGCTCCATGGAAACATCTGGAAGCTGAGGACTACTTCTCATTCTCCCAGACTTGCTGTGTGCCCACAGGCAGTCTCACCTTCTCTGAGTGTCACCCTGCCAGACGGTGGGGGCACTCCCTTAGGAGGGAGCTGGCTAGTGCTTCAAGGAGGTGGTGTAGCCCACAGAGGCGGTGAGTGTGCACCTGTGCTCTCTCCTGCATTCGGTTCCATGAATTTTACCTCTCCTGCCCTACTTTCTGGCTGTGCATCCTCGGGCCAGTTTCTAAACCTCTCTGAGCCTCCAGCTTATCCATATCAAGTGGGATGGCTAATAATGTACCCTACCAGGTCCTGGGCTTCAGTAAGCAAGTGGCTAGAGGCAAAAGCATTTTCTACACTGTGCTTGGATGAGGAAGACAGCGTGATGGGTAGACAGAGGCAGAGCAACGGGGGTAAGAGCCCAGGGCAGCAGTGGCAAGCCCCGACCATGAGCTGCAGTGACCTTGACCTTCACTGGTCCTGGGCCCCCTAATCCTGGAGGCTTTGAAAACAGAGCAGAAGAAAGCCCCAGCTGTGGCCTGACCCAGGGCCAGGGCTGTGGGTTACACATTAACTGGATAGAAAGAGCCAGCCACTGTCAGCCAGGGGGTCCCACCCCAGTGCCCACCAGGAATCTCTGCAGGCTCCCTCCACCCCCTCCCTTCTGGCACCCCCACACCTTTATGCCACCTACACCACCTCTCTGTGCTTGCCGGCCAGGCAAGGGCAGGCACTGGCAACTGGAAATCTATCCAGCACTGCATCTGGGGCCGGGGAGGTGCCCAGCCCCCTCCTGCACATGCTAGGGAAGGGGCTGCCACTGACCTTAAGCTTTACCCAGGCAGGGCCTGGGGCCCCTGATGTCAGGCCTGAGGGGCAGAGGAAAGGCTGGGGGCTCCCCACCCTGTTCATGCTTGAGTCCAGGTCCCACTTACCGGCCAGCAGGACAGTCAGATGGCAGAGGGTGGCCAAGCGAAGCAGCCACCAGAGAGATATCAGAGCCATGGCCAAGGGTGGGTGAGGGTCCAGGCAGGTGCCCGGGCAGGCGGCTATGGCCAGGCGGCAGAGCTCAGTGCTGTCCCTCGCTGCCGCCAGAGCTCTTTCGCTTTTTATAGAGGCTGGCTGCCTCCGCCTCCAGCCCCCGCAGGCAGGAGGGTGGGAGGGGAGAGGAAGGGAGCCAGTGTGGAGCCGCTGGATTCCTCAGGATGTTGCCAAGGAACCAAGCCGGCTCTGGGGCTCTGGGCTGAGCACCATCCTAGGTTCCTCATACTGGGACCTGCCCGGGAGGCTGGACCATGCCTGCCTGGGTACAAGGGCGTCCTCTCCTGCCACAAGCCGGGAACATGCCCTAGGACCCGGCCTGGGGCCCCTGGCTCCTACATGGGCAACACACAAAAGGCCAGCAGGGCTGAGGAATAGAAAGCAGGGTGCTGGCGGGCCGGGAGGGACCCAGGGCCCCTCCATTCTGGGTCTGACAAGCTCTTCTTTAATCCGGGGAATACCTTGTTCAAATCAGGACGGACCCTCAAGTTTCCCCTCTTAGAATCCCAAGCTCCTGGGGGATGTTGTTGATCTACGCATCTCTGGATCCCAGCAGGGAGCCTGCAGTCAGCAGGGGCTTGGTTCAGGGTCTGCTGAAAGAAGGATCGAGTCCAACTTCATATGGACAGATGGGGAAACTGAGACCCGGAGCCACCCCAGGTTACCTATAGCATCAGGGTGGAGAACCTCCCTCCCACCACCAAGATGAGCAGAATGCGGGCAGCTCAGGACCCAGGAGAGTGCCCTAGCCTCCCTGCCTCCACCTCCCCGATTTGCACCCACTCCTATCTCTGCTCTGGCCCCAGACCAGAGAACAACATGGGTGCCAGCCCATCCCTGATAACTCTGGCTCTTGGCTCCTCAACTCTGCAGCTGTGCCCTGGAGAAACCCTGCCTCTCGTGCGGCCTGAGTTCTCCATCTGCCCAAGGAGGGCATTGGGCTAGTGCACCGGGGAAGAGCTTCCCAGCATCGGCCCTCCAAGGTCATTCTCCATGAGAGGTGGCAACAGAACCACACAGGGCCAGCCAGCAGGCTTTCAGTGAAGGCTGCAGAGGCTTGCCAGCCTTGGGAGCACATTAAAACACAGCCCGCCTTCATGGAAGCCATCCCTAAAGGCAGTGGCAGCAATCCCTGAGACTCCAGAAGAGGCAGCAGCCCTGCCTTGGGCCAGGACTGAGTTGTACTGGTGTCTTGAGGGAAACCAATTGTAGAGCCAGCATCCCACGCTACGAGCCAGATACTGGGCAGAGGGGTCACAGATCCCAAGGCCAGGGACCTCTCTCTCCTCAGCCACCCCCCCCCCGACCCAGTGGGCTGCCTGGGGCATGGGGTTATGAGGCTAGATACTTCCTGAGGTGGCAGAGCACCCTTGGCAGGGCCCAACATCCACTTATGCTCAAAGAATCTGTCCTGGCCTGTGCACATGGGAAGCGACTAGCCTTCTCATTCCCACTGTCCAATCCCTCTTTTTATAACTGGGGAAACTGAGACCCAGAGAGGGACAAGGAGGGATCAAAACTGAGGTCCAGTGTTCTTTCTGCTCTGCCCATGCAAGGACAGAGGAGGAGCCCAGGTGCGATGGCTCACGCCTGTAATCCCAGCACTTTGGGAGGCCAAGGTGGGTGGATCACCTGAGATCAGGAGTTCGAGACCAGCCTGGCCAACATGATGAAATCCTGGCTCTACTAAAAATTTTAAAAGTTAGCTGGGCATGGTGGTGCACGCCTGTAATCCATCTAGTTGGGAGGCTGAGGCTGCAGCTGAGCCAAAATTACACCACACTGCACTCCAGCCGGGGTGACAGAGCGAGACTCCATCTCAAAAAAAAAAAAAAAAAAAAAGAACAGAGGATGAAGAAGGGGTAGGGGTGGAATGAAAAAGAAAGGGAGAAGGGAAAATAGGAGAGAAAGGGGAGAGAGAGAAGAGCGGAGGAAGGGTATAAGGAAGGGGTGGAAAGGAAGAGAGGGGAGGAGGGAGAAGACGGGAGGAGGAAGGGGGCCTGCCCAGGGAAGCGGTACACTTAGTAAAGGCAGGAGCTAGGTGGGGCTCACTGCTGGGGAGTAGAGATCCTTACTTCCTGGCACCCGACTATGTTCCAAAGAAGTATTTAGAAAGCAAGGGCTTTGGGGCCTGGTGCAGTGGTTCATGCCTGTAATCCCAGCACTTTGGGAGGCCGAGGTGGGCGGATCACCTGAGGTCAGGAGTTCTAGACCAGCCTGGCCAACATAGTGAAACCCCATCTCTACTAAAAATACCAAAAAAATTAGCTGAATGTGGTGGTGGGCACCTGTAATCCCAGCTGCGCGGGAGGCTGAGGCAGGAGAATCGCTTGAACCCGGGAGGCAGAGGGTGCACCCACTGCACTCCAGTCTGGGTGACGGAGCGAAACTCTGTCTCTAAATAAATAAATAAATAAATACATCAGCAGGACTCCACCACGGAGAAGGGGTATTGCCTTATCCAGCCTAGGTGACAGAGTAAAACTCTGTCCGCGCCCCCTCACCACCAACCAGCCAAAAAAAACAGAGCAAAGTCAAGTCCATTGTCTTACACAATGTTCTCATTCCTAATTTAGTTATTTCCTCGTGATGTCACCTAATTTGTTCCTCTATCCTATTTATTTCCTGTAAACCGAGAGTTAGATCTAAAGGCTTGATTAGACCCAGGCCGCATACTCTTGGCAAGAATCTGTTATGAGTATTACTGTAGGTATATTTCACACGGCCCAGTTGCTCCACTTTTCTTTGGGGGAATGGGATTGATGGATCAATGGGTGATTGCTAGACATCTTTACTGAAGAAGAATTAGTCCCCTTATGATTTGAAAGTCAGCTGTGGCCTGTGGTGCTGGCACCCTACCACATACATGTAGGCAGGATTTTGACAGATCATTCCAGGCAGAGGCGAAAGCCTTACCAAGGTGGAGGGTACAGGATGTATTCAGGGGTGGGGAACGGCTCGATGCCATTGGCTCCCAGGGAGGCTGTGGCTGGGCCAAACTGCACAGAATTGTGAAGCGGGCTTGAAGAATGAGGATGCTGTTGACAGGCAGGAGAGAGCTTGGAAGGTCTTGGGCTGAGGGATAACTAGAGTAACGATGAGAAAAAAAAAATGAGCAGCACTGGACAGCAAAAATATTTCCTCTGGGGTGGGGTGGGGATGGTGAGAATGGGGGTGTCCCTGTCCCCACCTTCCACAAGCCCTCAGGTGGCCAGGACCCTGTGCCCCAGAGAGCAGGAAGCCTGTGCTGTTCTTGAGGGGCATGAGAGACTCCCTCAGGCCTGGAGGTAGCACAGAAGCAGCTCTGGAGAGGATGGGGAGATCGGGGCGCTCCCGCAGGATCTGGGCGGGATAAGGGAGGGGCATGAGCAGGGGGCCACCCTGCCACCACCTCCAGGTATTTCCTGATACTCCCTCCCTCTCTCCAGTGTCTGCTGGTTCAGGGGAAGGTGACGGGTGAGTGGCTGAGTGACTGACTATGCTGCTGAAAGCTCTAGACTGCGATCATGGGTTCAGCAAATCCTCCTGACAGGGAGGCTGGGGCAGGAGGATCATTTCAGCCCAGGAGTTTGAGACCAGCTTGGGCAACATGGCAAAACCCCGTCTCTACAAAAATCAGCCAGGAAGGCATAAATAGAAAATCCCAGGGCCCCTGGGGCCCAGCCCCACCCAGCTCTCCCAGCTTGTCTTTTCTGGACAGTAAGGAGGGCTGCCCACATGTGCTCGGCGTTTCCTCTGCCTGTGCCCACACTGGCTGTACCCGAAGGAAGGGGCCTGGGTCCCTGAATGACCACATGGAAGGTTGCCCAAGACTGAGAATGCTTGATTAGACTTTGTGTGAGAAGAAAGAACTTCTGCTGAGTTGAGCCACCGAGATTTGGAGGTGTTTGTTGCAAGAGGTAGCCGTTCCCAGCTAATGCTCCCTCCCTCCATCCAGCGTCTGCCGGTGCAGGGGGAAGGTGAAGGGTGAGTGGCTGAGTGACTATTGCTGCTGAAAGCTCTAGACTTGGGGACTGTGTTCATGGTTTCAGCAAATCCTCCTGACAGCTGGTGCCAAGATGGGCTGGGAACTCTGGGACAAATGTCTGGGCTTCCCATCAGCACCTGTGCAGCCACTTCCAGGTCCTTGTGTCCTGCCCAGACTCCCCACCACTCACACGGTGACCTTGGGCAACGCACCGCCTATTTCAGCGTGAAGGCTTCCCCAGTGGGAGAGAGGAGATCGTGGCGCCCCCTGCCCCATCTCACAGGTACAGCAAATGCCAGGCGCAATGACTCCCTCCTATAATTCCAGCACTTTGGGAGGCCGAGGCAGGAGGATCGTTTGAGCCCAGGAGTTTGAGACCAGCCTGGGTAACATGGCAAAACCCCGTCTCTACAAAATTCTGTCAGGAAGGCATAGATAGACCCAAATTGCAGTCTTCAGCCTGGCCCAACCACCTGAAAACGGTCTCCACCCAGGGTTTCTTCACTCAGTTACACCCCATTCTCTGCCTCCCGCCAGAGAGAGAGAGAGAGAGAGAGAGAGAGAGCGAGAGTGCTACCCTACCACAGCCAGCTTCCTCCCAGGGCCACCCTGTCCCCCTCTCACATAGTTCCTAAAATTATTCAATTCATCCATTTGGCTTCTTAAGTATTTACTCTGTTTTCATACACATATATAACTCTAGCTTTTAATACCAAGCCAAGGGTAGTCATTCACACCATTGCATGAATTTGCTTCTCTGCTATTTAGGGAAGGAGGCAGGGAAAGTGGAATGGGGGTGTACTCTGAAGAGGTCCTGGGTATTGGAGGTTGGAGGACCATCCAAAAAAAAGCCTGAGGGGAGAAGGATGTGTAAGCAGACATGAAAGTAGGTAAAATGGGGAAGAAAGGAATAGGAGTCTCCTCCTAGGAAAAAAACGGGGAAGGTTGGGCGCAGTGGCTCATGCCTGTAATCCCAGCACTTTGGGAGGCCAAGGAGGGTGGATCACTTGAGGTCAGGAGTTCAAGACCAGTCTGGCCAACATGGTGAAACCCCGTCTCTACTAAAAATACAAAAATTAGCCAGGCGTGATGACACACACCTGTAATCC